ATATGAAGAGTTCAACAAATATCCAAATGAAGACTACACCTAGTTTGGGATGGTAACAATAATTTACTCAGGTATTTTTCCTTTTCAAATAGCCCTCTTCCATTATGTGAGGAATATTATGAAAAATATTTACCCAAATTATTTCCCATTCACAATTTTCTCTGTAAGTTAAACATTATCAGGGGAGACAAGCTAGTTACCTGCCACTAGATGGGGTGAGAAAGAAAGAGCTAGTCAGCAAACAGTCCTCCAATCTTGATCATTCCAACTGCTCCTTATTTCTGACTTTCTTCTCCTTCCTATACCATGAACAGGACTACTGCTTTCTCAAAACACGTGACTCTTCTGGAGGATGGTCTCATCTGTAGTTAGAGCTACTGTATCTACTTTGCTGTTCTTCCTCCTTAAACAGTGTCCCAAAGTAAGTTCCAAGGAATGATATGTCCTAGGTGTGTTAACTGCATTAACGGACACTGAAAAAAGGTCAAGTAAATTTAGAAAAAACTTCATTAAACAAAATCGAGAAGGTTTATTTCTTGGAGGATTTTTCAGAATCTTAACTATGTTCATGTGCACTGTGAATCTGCAAAATGGAAAGAGATTATACACTGTAATCCAAACATTTTTTCAACCCAAACTTATTTATTTCAAAGAGTTTCTCTAAGAACTTGTGCTCTACCACCTTAATTTTTTCCCAAAGCTATCCTGGAGCAAGGATCCTTAAAACCAATCTGAAATGTGAAAGAAAAGAACAAATACAAATAGAATCTTTCTATCAGTCATTTCATTTATTATACTCTTCTTTCCTAGCCATCTCAAAAATTCAGGCATCCTGACTTACTGAAAACATCTTTTACTTTAGATATCCAGGAAGGCTTAAAAGGAGACTTGCTAATGGATTTAAATTATAATTAAAATGTTCACTGTCTGCAGAACGTTGTTTGGGGATGTCTTTTTTTTTTTTTTTTTTTAATAAATGGTGATGTGACAAAAATTAATAAAGTTACCAAAAGTAGAATAAAACCAGGGCCAAAAGCAATCACATAATTTCCCCTCTATCTACATATTCCTTTTTTTATAATACCAACCAAAATAAGGGTGAAATTAAAGGAGCAGAAGAAAGCAAGTTCTGTAAAGTTTGAGTCTCAATATTATATTTACATTTCTGGGGGAAACTATAACTATAGGTAACAGACTTTTATTATATAAAAAAAATTAACTCAGTAGATCAATTTACAATATGATGAACATAAATTCATACCCTATCTGAAGCAAAATTACTTTCCTAACAATTCTCTTTCTCTACCATTCTCCCATATCCCTGCAGGGAACCTTCTTCTGTTTTCACTCCTATTCTATAACAGCATCAGTTTCCAAACTTGAACTCTTTCATACTAACATTTGCAGGATGCCTTCATAGAAATCCGATGTCGGAAAGCAGAAGTTGAACAACTCACAACCCTAACATCAAAGAAACTTATGAAACTTAGAGGTCTGATTTGAATATATCCCAACTGCACCCTCCCCAAGAGACTAACAATCCACCTTCAAGCCCAATCCCGCAACAATCCCAAATTCTTTGAAACTAAAAATAACTCAGCTGTTGTCTCATCTGCCAGCAGATGGCCAGACTATTTTTAATTCAGGATTCTGGAGAGCAGGAATGGATCAGGCTAAGCTAGGGCAGCCTAGACGCCCTCACTCTGCAGAGCTTAGCGTTCACTGCAGAAAGCTGTAGTAGGGCAAGTACCAAGAGAGGGCAACCTGGAGCTGTTCCTGGGTCCCTGGGCTTCATGTCAATTGTAACAAAATGGGAGATGGGGGCAGAGTATTTTATTTTTATTTAACCATTCTTCAAAGTAAAGTCTGACATGTAGACAATTTGAAAAAAGTTTTAAATAACCCTGCATACCCTTTAAAGGTTTATTTATTTCCCATTTTGTGAAAAAAAAGTTCCTCTATGTAGTATCTTTATGAATGGATTTTGTTTTAATGAAGTAAAATTTCCCCCAATCTAGATGTTTCCTAAAAGTTACACTTTTTAACAACAACAAAAAAAGTTTTCTTAGGAATACATGATAAGCTATAACTACATGATTATTATTTACAGAAAACCTATCTACAATTGGTCATTATGATAAAAGGTGGCTGAATGAATTTTGAATACCAGTGTTCTGAAATATACTCACATGCCAAAAAGATGATCTTCAAACGAAAAAAGGATTAAAAGTCTGACATACTACATATTTTCTTGTTTACTGTCCATCTCCCTCCAGCTCCATAGTAGATGCTCAATAAATATTTGAGGGGAGAATGAATACAGGCAGGTGCATTCAAAAAAAACATTAACAACACCTACAAAATGACCTCTGTACCCCCACCATCTAACCCCACCCACTCACAATCTATAAACCAGGGATGATCAAACCAGTTTACTTTCCCATCTGTTTGGTGGCCACGCCCATTATCAAGAGACCAGGGTGGGTCTGGCCCAGGTCTCAATAGTGAAGGGGGGGTGGTGGTCTGTAATAGTTTCCAGGGACAATTCATATTTGGGGATACCATCCTACTGTAAGACATTATACTTCTGCAAAAATGAAATGGGTTATCACTATCAATTTATATTTGGGTGATAATGTAGATGAATGACTTGAAGATGAGAAACAAAGTTCACCAGGGAGTAGCTACTATGAGATTGTTCACTGAGATTTTGCTTTGTAGGAAGCTAAATATATCTTTTATGAAATGTGGGAAAAAACACCTTTTAAACTCAAGTAAACAAAGTACTCTGATGCTCATCCCCTGCCCGGAGTCACATTCCTCATAATAAGGAATTTTATTCTTTATGACTTATGGAATGGGCAAAAAAATAAAAACTAGAAAAATCTGGACTGGACAACAATGGTATGGCTGGCACATACAGCACCAAGTAATTCCTAAGTCTAGAAATGGTAAGGACCTTTAGGGAGCTATAGGCCTCTAAAGATACCAATCAAAAGTGGGAATAATACTCAATGCATGAGTTAACAGAACAGTACATTCAAATTTATGGCACATTAGAGGGGATAGGACTATATAATCATTAGGTTCAATACTCTAATCTTACAGAGAAGGAACTTAAGGCCCAGGAACTTGTCTAATAATACTACAATGGAACAGAACTGGGATTTAATCCCAGGACACTGGCCTCTTTCTAGTGAGCTCACCACTAAAGCATGCTTACTTATGTTAGCATTTTGGAGAGGGAAAAAATATACATATACCCAACACACTCCATTTCTTCAGTTTGATACTTATAATCTAGCATATTAAAAATATATTCTAACATGGAAAATCTGAATTCTCAAAAACTAAAATTTTGTTTTGGTGGCAGGCCAGTACGGGGATCTGAATCCTTGACCTTGATGTGATCAGCACCACCCTCTTACCAAGAGAGCTAACTGTCCAGCACTCAAAAACTAAAATTTAATTAGAGTCTCTTAAGTTCTTTAACCTGCAAGTTATTCATAAACCTACATGCAACAATTCTTTTAAAAATCCTAAAATCACTCCTTCCCTCATTCTACCCTATTCAGTAATTACTCCTTTTAGGATCCGGACATAAATTCAATTTTAACCACTATACAACTATCTTCTAGTACACCTGGAACAGTCTTTTGTTAGCTACAAGGATAACAAAACGAGAAATTCTGATCCATGAAGGGGGCGAAAAACTAAACAGATTCAAAATGTTTAAGATGAAATTTCTTTGATAATGTTTTTCACAACACCAATTTTAAGGCCCCAGAAATGGAGCGAAAAAACTGTACAGCATGGTATAGCAAGATAAATAGTAGTCTTTTACTTACTTTAATAATCAAAATGCGAAGTTGCTTTAAGCTGTCCTGACTCCTTACTTTAGCATACATTTAAGTTATTATTAATTTTCTCCCTTCAAGAACTATTTTTTCCGATGCCCATTTAACAAGCTTCGTTTTCTTGCCAATTTGACCTAGTCTATTTCCAGTGCTATAAAATAAAGTGTAAGCATGAGGAATTAATCTTTGTGTTAAATGCCCTGGTCTCTCCTTAAACGACTTTTATGTCTGATGGAGGCAACAGATTTATCAATGCTCCCCCTTTTAACAATTCCTTATCTGTCCGCCCTCGCTCGTTCTAGGTATTATTTGGATTTTCCCTGCTGCGGGCTTCATTGCACTAGATCTCTTCCGTCTGAACTATAAATCACAATTCAAGCTTGTGAGCAGCTGCAACTGTCCAGACATGTGGCTGGTGGGTGTCACTGTCTTCTTCATTTTCCCCATTGCAAACCATCCCTTCCCTTGTGATCTAAAGACAATTTATCTAAAGATTCTTTCCTTCCCCGCTTTCATACCGCCACCCCCACCCCTTAACCTCTGGTCTTGTTCTTCCAGGTCAGCCCAGTCAGATACAACATTACTCTATGTTTTTCCTGTGGCGGAGGCGGAGAGATGTCAGAACGGGCTGCACCTCTCGCAAATCCCTTCTCAACACTGTCAACAAGGGAACAACTTCAGCCGGTCTTCCCGAAGTACCACGCCAAACGATAAACTTATTGTAATTACGATACGGAACCCTTCCCACGCCCAATCTTGACATATCGGCCCCACCTCAATTTCCAACCTGATAAACAACAGCTCATCTTCTGTTTCATCACAAAGGGTGATATCCTGCCCACACCGCACGGCCCACCAACGAAATCCTCTCACACTCTCAAGTTGATCTCTCGAACCCAGGTGCCCCATGATCCCAAGCCCGGCTGCGTTCCCCGAGCCCTGCTAACTGCCTCCCTCCCGCACCCCGCCTGTGCCCCACATCCAGCAGAGTTGCTGTCAACTCCAACCAGGCAGCAGAGAGCTCCGCGAGGGCTCCCTGAGGTCAGCGGCGCCGGCCTAGGACAGCCCCCCAAGCGACCCCCCCTCCCGTGGGCCGCCACCCGCATTCCACCCCCCGTGTCCCCCGGCCTCCTCCCCGCTCACCTAACGCCACCTCGCACGCTTTGCGCAGCTGGGAGTGATGCGCCTTCTTCACTTCCTTGTCGGCCAAAATCTTCTCCAGGGCCCGGGTCAGGAACATGTTCTTCGTCTTCTTCCCCTCATACATGGACGCAGAGAAGGAGGCGGCTGCTCCTCCGACCCGCGGCTCCCGGCGGCTGGAGGGGAGGAGGAGGAGGAGGAGGAAGAGAAGAGAGAAAGGAGAGGGGGTGGATGTGGGGGAGAGGAGGTGTGCAGGGCAGCGGCAGGATCACCAAGGAGCGGGACAGCGGGTCCAGGCGCGGTGCCGGCGAAGGGCGTCGAGGTCCTCCCCGCTCCGGAGAGGCCGCCCCTCGAAGGCCGCGCCCGTCGGGCCTCTGCTTCTCCTTCGTCCGGGGGTCGCTTCCCGGCCGCCCACCTCACTCGTCCCTCCGGCCCGGCGGCGGCGGCG